CGGTTCAGCCAGTTTTCAGTCCATCTCACTGTCCACCTACGTAGCTGGTACTTCATCAGTTTGTCTATGAGGATGTTACAGGAGACAGTGTGGAAAGCCAAGATAAACAACATCCACTGTTCTCCCTTTGCCCACTGACCCAGTCATCTCATCGTAGAAGGCTGTCAAGTTGGTTGAGTGTGATTTCCCTTGACTACTGTCAATGAGCTCTCTGTCCTTAATACGTTTGGAAATGGTTTCCAGGATTATTTGCTTCATCGTCACCCAAGGATCAAGGTGAGGCTGACCAGCCTGTAGTTCTCTGCATCCTCCTTCTTCCTTTTCTTGAAGATAGGAGTGACATTTGCTTTCTTCCAGTCCTCAGGACCCTTCCCCAATCGCCACGACCTTTCAAAGCTAGTCAAGAGTGACCTCACAATGATATCACCCAGCTCGCTCAACACTAGTGGTTGCATCCCCTCAGGTCCCACAGACTTGTGTGCCCAGTTTGTTTAAATGTGTTAAATGAGGTTTTGTGTGCTTGGGATTTGAAAAACATGTGTTACACTCTACTAGGAAGCCAGGAAGCAACTGAAATGTGACCAGTTCTCCCCTGAGACTCGGGTTAGAACTTGCATTGGGAAGTGGGAAGTCGCAGGAGGTAGTCAGCTCCCAGTAATCCTAGTATTTCAGATCATCCTAAATGAGTCTTGCTCTGGATGCAAAGACGCTCTCTGCAGACTCTGCGTGCTTTTGGTCCTGGGCTGATAAGTCCAGGAGAGACCATACAACACTGTGGCCCCTTGCTATGGATCAGCTTAAACTCTGGGACCAACTGTGTCCGTGGCCTGTTCCATCCCTTCTTTTCTGTCTCTATATATCTAGATAGTGTTTTAACTTTATTCAGGTTATCTTCTCTGCACCCTCTCACAGACTCTGCTACCCTGGATAACACTGAGTAAACACCTGTAGGGAATAAAACCAGAACAGAGGGATTACCTTTTCTTCAGGGAATTAAATAACTATGCAAAATCCCTGAATTCAAGGCATTGAGATTAGGCGCACAGCATACTTTATCCAATTTCCAGCCAAACTCCCTAGCAAAAGGTATATAAATACCTTTATCACAGAATTCATAAGCCCTACTTTCAGGTTTGCATGAGTGTAACAGCACAATATTTTCAGAAGTTGCTTGATGGGGTTGGTCAGGCACAGTAGATACCTTCAGTGATTAAAACCATTCTGTTTCTCCCTTGCCATGTATTTGACCTGAAGGATCAATCTGATACTCTCCAAGCCACCCCGATCTCTAAGACCTGGTGAGAAAAAACAAGCAGAAGGAACCATGATCAAGATACAGATTCCCTAGTTAATCTTAAGGAGATAAAAAAGGCTGTAACAGATAAAGAAACAAGCCCATAAATGCAAGTGGTCAAAGCATTACCAGTAGGCTTAAAAAAGAAATGTTAAAGTGAAAGGAATAAAATTGCTTGAGGGAACAAATGAAGAGTTCTATTTCAAGAACAACTCAGCACACATTTCATCTCCTGACGTCCCTTCCCCCATCGCGGATCGCTAACCTAACCTATGAACCAAACGCACTGAATCCGAGGGAGATCAGCCGACCCCTCTCAGGCTGCGGCAGGTAAAGGCAACCGGGGGAGCCCGCTGGTGCTCGGGGCTGCACCTGAGGTGGGCGGGGAGGGACAGCTGCGGCGGCAGGAGCCCTTCTGAAAAGGGGTGAGGAGGGCTACGCGGGAAACGGGACGGGGAGAGAGGGGAATGAAATAATCGAAATAAAAGGCAAAGGGGGGGGGGGGAGGAAAAAACTCCCGCCGATTTCTTTAATTCTCATGCTTCCAGGAAAAACAACTAACAAGAATAGTTTCATCCCTGATCTTAGCCGGGGGCGAATACTCGAAGCCTTTCTCCGGCTAGCTCCGTCCCGCTGGCTGCCTGGCGCCGCTCGCTCGCTCGCGGGCCG